GAGAGAGAGAGAGAGAGAGAGAGAGAGAGAGAGAGAGAGAGAGAGAGAGAGAGAGAGAGAGAGAGAGAGAGAGAGAGAGAGAGATGGATAACGCGGGAGGAATGAAGGCTTATCCGACAAGAGCGGGGGATTACAAGTTCCTTGAGGAATGCGGGCATGGCGTTAGCGCCATCGTCTACAGGGCACTCTGTGTTCCACTGAATGAGATTGTTGCCATCAAGGTCTTGGATCTGGAGAAATGTTCCAGCAATTTGGACGAAATCAGGAGGGAGGCGACGACGATGAGTTTAATCAACCATCCGAACGTCGTCCGAGCCTATTGCTCCTTTGTCGTGAACCAGAACTTGTGGGTGGTGATGCCGTTCTTATCTGGCGGCTCGTGCTTGCATGTTATGAAAGCCGCTTTCCCTGAAGGTTTCGAGGAGCTCGTGATTGCCACGATTTTGAAGGAGACACTTAAGGCTCTCGAGTATCTTCATCGTCACGGGCATATACATCGGGATGTGAAGGCGGGCAACATCTTGATTGACAGTAATGGAGCGGTGAAGCTAGCTGATTTTGGTGTGTCTGCTTGCATGTTTGACACAGGGGATCGACAGAAATCCCGCCAGACTTTCGTGGGCACGCCGTGTTGGATGGCCCCAGAGGTGATGGAGCAAATACACGGGTACGATTTCAAGGCGGACATTTGGTCCTTCGGTATAACGGCTTTGGAGCTAGCCCACGGGCACGCGCCCTTTTCCAAGTACCCTCCTATGAAGGTGCTGCTGATGACTCTTCAGCACGAGCCTCCTGGCCTCAATTTGGATCGAGACAAGCGGTTTACGAAGTCGTTCAAGGAGATGATTGCCAGCTGCCTTGTGAAGGATCCGTCGAAACGCCCGCCGGTGGAAAAGCTGCTGAAGCATCCGTTTTTCAAGCAGGCGAAATCGGCGGACTATTTGGTGAGGCATGTGTTGCAGGGGCTGCCTCCGTTGGGAGAGAGAGTGAAGGCGCTGAAGATTAAGGACCAGGCGAGGATGGCGGCGAAGATGATGCCGCTAGGCGAGCAGGAGGAAGTGTCCCACAACGAGTACAAGAGAGGGGTCAGCAGTTGGAATTTCAGTATTGAAGACCTGAAGCAGCAGGCGAAAGACGAGGAGGAAGACGGGGGGTCATCGCAGGCGCCGTCGTCGGACGAGGGAAGCTTTGGTCGAGGAGCGGGCGGCGGCGGGATGGTCTCCTCGAAGGGAGGGACATCAGCGGGGGGGGGGAGTAGTAGGGGGACGCGAGGTAGTCACAGCGACGCGGAATCCGACCCTTCTCCTTCCATGGAAGGGTCCCCCAGACAAGCGCAGCACCGAACTCATGCGATGATGTCGTCCACGGTTCATCCTGCTCCCTTATCTACGGCCTCGGCGGCGGCTGCGTCAGCTCTGGATGGAGACAAGGGAGAGAAGGGGCTGATGGCGGGGGCCATGGATAGTAGGGACGGTGGAGGGGCGGGCGCCGCTGCCCCCGCGGGAGGAGGAGGGGGTTACGCTGGCGCAGGACCGATGAGGGGAAGGACGTCCCGGGGGCCGACGCCGCCCCCCATGCAGAACGTGCAGATGCTGATCATTGGAGGCGAAAGTCAGAACGGGCACAAGTTCTTGTCCGGGAACGGGGGAGGAGGAGGAGGGTTGTTTTCTCCCAAGACGGGGGAGGTGCAGCAGCAGCATCAGTCGATGTATGGGGGTAGCGGCGGTGGCGGCGGCGGCGGCTCAAGTACAACCGGGGTAATTGTAGTAAGAAAGGAAGGAGTAGTGAAGCACGTGGGCAGGTTTGATGTGGAGATTGCCGAGAGGACATCCCCTCCGCAGCAGCAGCACCAACCTGGGGGGGCGGCAGGAGCACAGCGATCCATCGTGATGGAAAGGCTCGAAGCTGTTACTGTTACATCGGCAGTCCCAATCGGCGGGGAGGTGGGGGAGAGGTCGTCGCGGCACAGTTCAGGCCTGGAGCGGGTGGCCATAGAGAATCGCACCGCGCTGGAGCAGCGCGAAAGAGAGCATCGAGGATCGCTCGGCAACCTGTCCTTTTTCGACAAAGATAGAGATCGGCCGCTGGCCAACGGCGTGCCATCGTCTTCGGCGGCGGGGGCGGGCGGTGCGCCACGTGGCGCGGCCGCGTCGGCAGGGGCCACGCCGTCCAAAGACGCAGAGCAGTCGCAGGTGGTAAGGAAGGGGCGGTTCTCCGTGACACCTGGTAACGTCGAGGACGTGGAATCTACCCTGCCTATTCCGCCGAAGCGCCCAAACGCGGGGGCGGCGGTAAAGGCGGCGCAGCAGGCGCCGCAGTCGTCGCAGGTGCACAGGTCGCCGAGCATCAACGACTGGTCAGCGCAGTCCGGGGGCGGAGCGGATCGCAGATCGTCCTTGAACCCCTCCTCCTCTCCTTCGCCGCCCATCGTGAACCATCCCGCTGCTACCACCGCCAGCGCCGGCGGCGGGGGCGGATTGCTTGTTCCGGTTGTCAACGTCTTGCCGCATCTTCAGAACATGATGCACCATGTAATCTGTGAACAAGATTTGCTGCTCAATCTCATGAACTGTTTGTCCGCGAATGACCCGAGCGCGTTGTGCAGGAGTAAGGTGAGCTCTATGGGTAGTAGAGAGTCGGCCGAGCACGGCGGGGATGTCACGGACAGAGAAAGAGACTTGCTGCGACAAGTAATGGAACTTCAGAGTAGAGTCGCTGCTCTCACCGAGCAGTTGGAGTTGGTAAAGGGGAAGAACGTACAACTGGAGCGGAAACTGAACACGATTTTCAACGAGGAGGAGGAAAGGCGGATACACGCGGAGGAGCGGGACCGAAGCCCCGATAATGACTGATTTCGTTGACGTGATCTATTGGATTGGAATGGAATGGAATGGAGTGTTCTGGGGAGATGATGATACGACGCGCCTCTTCGTTGTTCTAGTCTAGAGGATGATGAAGAGATTGAAGGTAGGAGGAGAGAGGCGATGAGCGTTTTCGTGCGCGCCTTACGGAAGGGAGAGAGGGAGGTTGTTTGCTGACATGGAAGCGGGCGACATTGTCAGGGGTTTCTTCGTCGAGGCATTATTTGTGGGTGTTCTTCCTATGCTCTCTCCACGTCGATGAGGCGAGGAGAGGACATTGCCATTTGTTGGCTGGTCATGGGCGAATGCAAAAAAACAGAGAGAGAGAGAGAGAGAGAGAGAGAGAGAGAGAGAGAGAGAGAGAGAGAGAGAGAGTAGGGGGGTGCGGAAGAATGTACCCGAGCTTCTCTTCAGGACACGGATTGGAAGGTGTTCTATTTTACACGTGATGATGACAAGAAGAGCGTTGCGTTCTATTCTACGTGACCGCTTCTGAGTGTCGAGTATGGTTGGAGATATTGGGAGGAAAAGCCTACATACTCGGAGTTGTAATTTGTGTATGCGAGTGTGGATGTGTGTGTGTGTGTGTGTGTGTGTGTGTGAGAGAGAGAGAGAGAGAGAGAGAGAGAGAGAGAGAGAGAGAGAGAGAGAGTGCAGGCATTGCCGGCAGAATGTGTTTACTCCGGAAGAGGAGCCAGAGGCCAGAGTTAGGCCATCGGCCTGATGGCCGGGTGAATCGCATAGGGAGGGGTGTGAGGAGGAAAGAGGGAAGGGGGGTAGGGGGAAAAGAAGGGGATGTGTAGGAAGGGGAAGGGAGGGGTACGGTGCGAAGCTGTTAGAGGGGTGTAGGCAGTTAGTAGGGTAGGACCTGTGATTGATTTGATTTTACTCCGAAAATGCTGTCGTTGGAGCGTTTTGTAGAAGAAGCATGCTGAGTATTCGTAAGGAGTGAAGAAATCCCGAAAGGCATGGAATGCCTTTGGTTCTGTATCTGTGTGAATTCTTTTTCGTTCTCCATTTGTGCATCCTGAAGGTAAAAAGAGGGTGGAGAGAGAGAGAGAGAGAGAGAGAGAGAGAGAGAGGCGCGCGAGACGCGGTGCGGCGTGCGTGGCGTGGGGTGGTTGTCTATCGTCGTGCAGCGCGGCGTAATCAGGGGAAGTATGTTACAGCAAGACGGAGCTTGTTGGTTTTGATCTCGGTTGCTTGGCATGGGGCGGCAGTGTACTGTCTTGTAGTCCGGGTCAAGCGTCCCGCGTTTCCACCCTATTTTTCCTCCTTTTTAACGATTCTTGATGTTATTCTTCTTCTGCTTCTTTACGATGTGCGTAGAGCGTCTCCGTGTCGATGTCTCGCTCGTCCTCGTTGTTGTTCTCCGTCGTTTCCCAGGTGTTCCCAGCAGGGCGGCATCCGACTGCGATGATGGTGCGATGGAGAACGGAAAAGGGAATACGGGCCGCGGGGAGGGGGAAGGAAGGGGAGATGGTAGGGGAGAAGTTTGGCAAGGGGGGGTACCCTCACTATTGGACTTTCCTCAGCTCGTTTCTTCAATCAGTATATTCGCGTTTGCCAGTAAGTGCGCTTCCTTCTTATCTGCCGATTGATGAAGCTTTTTCATTTCTCTTTTTCTCTCTCTCTGTTGTGTTTCCGCTCGTTGTGACCTCCGGGTTGTTATCCATATACTTCGTTCCGTTTGGCATATGCGTGTGCATTGACAGATATATCTCGCCGCATGCGAGTGATTCGCGCTGCTATTCTTCTCTCTCCTCTTGAATAATCATCGGAGAGGTGCTCTTTCTTCTCATCCTCCCTTCTGCTCTTTCTTCTTCGCCTTTCTCTTCGTCTGCTCTCTCTTCGTTTAGTTTCTTTTCTTCTGCTTTCTCCGAAGCTGAGGAACAGAGCAGAGTTGTTTCAAGAACTCGGTGACAGCAGAGCCTCTTGAGATCTCATGCCTCGTTGTAATTCCGGAGCTGCAGATTCGCTTCTTCTTCTTTCCCTTCTTCATTCTCTCCTTTCTTTCTTCTTTCCCTTCCTCTCCCTTCCTCTTTCTCTTCTTCTCTCCTTCTTTCCTCTCTTTCTTCTTCGACTGCAGTATTGCTTAGAGCGATATTGGTTAGGGCGCACTCACACCACGGCTTTACTTGGATGTGTTGTGCCTGATTACGGCTGTGTTGTGCCTGATTACGGCAAGATTCTGTACAGAAGAAGGTAAACATCTGTGTATTCCGTCGAGTGTTCAGATGACCCTTGTAGTATAAACGATTGACTCTGCCAAGTGTCTTTTATCTGTGATTAATTAAAACTGGCAAGCGTCTTCTATATATGGTGAGCACCGTCAACTGTCTATTCTGGCAAGTGTTTTTGCTATATTCGATCAACATTGGCAAGTGTTAAATGCTTTTGTGTATATGATTAACGCTGGGAGGTGTCGCGACCTGTCTGCTGATCGCTGCGCGCTCGTGTAGACGATGAATGCGTGCATCGCGGGGAGTTTTTCGCAGTGATCGTTCTGTTCGCCGCTGCACAGCAAACTTGTAGCGCATTAGTTCTTCTTCAGATCTGCAGTAATTACGGCATTTGGCCTTTTGGTATTCGATTGGGGGATAGAATACTGCCGTCTTCACCGGAATAGAACGTCCGGTCATTATAGCCGTATTTGGAGCGACTTTCAGACCAGATGCAGATATAACGACCGGGCGTTTTATTCGGGTGAAGACGGGTAGGATCGAAGAGAAGGCGCCAACGGGAAAGGTTTTCTAAGTTCTGACTGATCAGATAGGCGATGGCGGCGCGCAAGGGAAGGGGCGTGTAGTTGTCTATGAGACGTGGGAGTCTGTCTCATACTCTTGGAATCCCTTTTATTTTTTGTCGCTAATTGGCCGAATATGGTCTTGCAACTCCGCCGGATTGTGTACGTATGGACATTGCCTCTATGACATTCATTACATGTTTATATTGGTTTATCTGTGGGATGTGTCATTTGCTTTGTTTGACTGATAGGCCTTCCTCTTCCCTTGTCCTTTCTTTGACTGGATCCCTTTCTTTCTCTTACCTCTGTGAGGTGTGGTTTCCTCCGCCTTTTCTTTACCTCTTTTTTGCCTTTTGGCTGCGTGCAAGTGGGTCCTTGTGACACACGGGGATGGGGCCAGCCAGCGCTCAACCTCTCGTCCACGTGGCTGGCCTTGTACGTAAGAGGTGCTGAACAGGCGGGGCTTTCCTTCATTCGTTTTTTTTGTTTTGTCTTTTTCCGCCTTTGCGCTCCGATTCACGGTGTGACAATATATATGATGGGGTGTGAACCGACAGTCTGTAGAGTTTTCCATCTGGTGTGGGTGAGTGATAGTCTGCTTTGATTTTCGTCACAGGTACCTTGAGGGCAGTGGTTGGTGCCCACCTCACTGTATCAGTTGTCGGGCAGTCGTTGATGCTTGACCACAGCCGGGGTTAAGGTGGATTATCACTTAGTGTAATCAGTTAGGGGGTTCTGCAGACTGTTAAGGGTTCAGCCTCCTGATGAGTCGGTGAAACTTCGACGAAACAGTTTGCGACAGCCCCTCGTTTGTTGTCCTCTTCTCCCTCTCTGCCTACGGTTTACCGGGCAGCTCTGTTTGAATATATATACATACATACATTGTCGTATATGGATATTGCTTGCTGAATTACGAAAGCTTCACCACCAGGTCCACCACCCTGTCAGGGGTCTGGATCTGTCCTCGATTGATTATGGATATTGCTTGCTGAATTGGACCGTTGATTGATTATATGCATACGGCTTGCTGATTTTTTTTTACTTGAATGACAAGTCGTTAGTTAAGTCTGCTGCGACTCGACCTGCTGTAAGTAGACAACAAACCGCTTCGCGCTTTGGCCACTTCAGCGGTTGTTCGTCAAGATAATACATTCTACAGCAACATTGGCCCAACCCCTGCGCGATACCTTTTCTTTTTTTTCCTTGCGTAAATCTATTCCAAACCCTGCAGCACCGTGAGCAGGTGTGTGCCTATGGTGTGAGTTTTTCCCGCTCCCCTCCCCTCCCCCCCCCTCCCCTCGAGGTGGTGGGGGTTCATTCGCTCTGTGCATTGGTTTCCTCGACCTGTTGCTGTAAAGCAGTCAGTGGTCGGTGCCCACCCCCCAACGGCGGTGCATCCTACACTGGCTGATTTTTTTCACTTTCTCTTTTCTTTTCTTTTCTTCACCTTTTTAGAGAGGGCGAAGGGCTTGAGATATCATCATCTAACTGACCCCGGCCAGTTGGTTTACTCCTGTTTCCAGTTTAGTTTGAACTCAGGTCTGCATGTCAACAGTTCAGGGGTGTACCAACTGAGCTGTGACAGTTGGTCTGACTTTGATTTATTGCGAAATCAAAATCAGAACTACTATGTGACTAAGTGATGGTTGGGGGTGACTGAGTGCTGGTTGGTGGATTTTGTGGAAAGGAGAGTCGCAAATCTTCCCTGGGCGACGAGTACACTTCCCCCTCCAAGTCGAGTCGCATTCTTCGTGTATATCTCATTCGTGTATTACGTGAGTGCTCCTTTGAATGTCCCTTTTTCTTTGTCTGCCAGATGGAATCGGAATATTGGAGCTGCATATGTCCATGAGCTATAAAGAATAACAAACTTTGGCCTTCCTTTGGAAAGTCGTTTTTTTTTTTTAATTTCTCGTTATCCCATGTGGTAGGTTGTCGATGTAAGTTGTTGCCTGAATGAAGGCTTTCAGTAGCATTAGAGTGATGCCGTTACATACTGTCTGACAATTTATGTGGGAATCATCATCTAGGATTGCTTTTTTATGATGTCCCGGTACGAATTGCTTACGATGACGCCGAATAGGAATGCCGAACAAGGCCATCTGCTGTGTATAGATATGTAGCTGGGACTTTTTTTTATTTCTTTGCAGACAAGAATGTTTTGACATCCTGGTTGGTCTTGTCCCGTCGTTTGGCCTGTGTGTTGGGGTGGTGCTTGCATGTGGGACTTGTCATCTGGGAACTGTTTTGTTACCCCCTGTTCTGTTTTATTTGGCTGTTCCCTTCCTCTTTTCTTTGCCTCTTTGCCTTTTGGCTGTGTGCAAGTAGGTCGATATCACACACGGGGGTGGGGGCAGCCGCCGCTCAACACGTGGGTGGCCTTGTACGCAAGAGGTTCTGAACAGTGGGAGTTATAAGGAAGAAGATACAAAACTGAATTCATTTTTTCTTGTTTTTCTTTCGTTTTTCCTTTTTGTTCGCATTTGCGCTCTGATACTCTTGTGACAATGTTACTCCGGGCCTATGCCTTCCTGCTGCTGCTGACTGTCCATGTCGCCGGGTCTTTCCTAATTGCACTGATTTGGTTGACGGCCATGTTGTTTCTGCCAACTATGATCTGATTCCGGATGCTAATCTTCGGCGTCTATTCTATGAGGGCTCTAAATATCGGCTGAATGGGGCAGTAGGGGATGTACTTGCGGCACTGGCTGTTGGTATTGACGAGTATATCGCTGCATACCTTCGGCCGTCATCACGACAATCCTCCGCTGCTACCCTTGCGCACCAATTGCATCTTTGGCGTGCTGCAGTTTTGCGCCATTGTGAGTCCAATATGACTACTGCAATACCTTTTCTGCAACCCCGCGCGCTGCGACACGCACATGTGGCTCTGCGTCAGCTTCAAGATTCCTTTGCGATTGTTCCTGTGGACAAGACATCACATAATTTGGCGATTTGTTGCAAGGACTGGTATCGTTTCCATTTTTCTACTCATCTTCACAGTCCTACATATTCCCGGCCTACGGAAACAGTGGCCGATATTCTGAATCGCCATGCACTTTGGAACAATCATCGGGATTACCCTCATGCTGACACATTGCCATATCTCTATTGCGCGCTTAAGGCCCATAAGTCTCCCCCTGCACTCCGAACTATTCTTGGTATCACTTCCCGTAACAACCTTTCTTCTTCTCATATGGCCCAGCGAAATGACCTGCACTCTTCCCAACGAGTCCAGCGTTTGCATCACCGGCCGCCTCACAAGCCTGTTGCTAGCACAACAGCAACTTCGGCTCGTTTGAGTGCGGCACTTCAAGGCTTCATCCGCACTCTTCGCAAAAAAGATAATCAGCTTTTTCAACGCGAAGGCATTCGACGATGTTGGATTGTTCAGAGCAGTGACGAGGTCATGCTTGACCTAAAAAATAATAAAGCATCTCTTCGAGGTCTGGTTCCTCATACGGTCGATTTTACTACCCATGTATACTAATCTTCCTCATGAACACATTCTTAACAATGTTGCTAATGCCGTTGATGAGGCACATGCCTACGCTCTTGCACAGGCACAGCAGCATACACAGACACGTTCATCCAATATTGCTCTTCGTATGGTGGTCCGTGGACCGCGTGCAGGGGAGTGGACAACTGATACGGGACCTGACACTCTTTCTGTGTCGGACATTCTTCAACATCTTCGTTTTATTGTTACTAATACATATTTATATACAGCGGATGGCCTTGTGCGTCATCAAGACGTCGGTATCCCTATGGGGACGAATGCTGGTCCTGAGATTGCTAATCTTACACTTTATTGGGATGAGGCGCAGTACCTGGACAACCTGCAACGTGTGGATCCTTCCGCTGCTCGACAATATGCTTTCACTTATCGTTTCATTGATGATGTCCTCACTTTTGGTTGCCTCCCGCCATCGCCAGCCTGTTATGGTCCGGAATGGAAGGAGACAACAGATCCTGATGGTTCTTGCACTTTCTTAGGTGCGAAGCTGCAGACACGCACAGATGGATCCCTTCGATTGAGTGTGTATGATAAGACTGTTGCATGGGGTTTCCCTGTTATACGATACCCTAGTGCAACGTCAAAGATTCCATCTCATCAGCCTGCAGGTGTATTCACTAGCCAGCTTACGCGGTTTGAGCAGATTTGTGACAATTGGCATGATTTTAAAACGGCAACAGCCTTGCTGGCCCGCCGTTTGCTTTCCCGTGGCCATGCTCCATCAACACTGGCTCGAGGATGGACTTGTTATATTCGTGCTCACCAGCGTCGGCAGCCTACACATGTGACGAGACTTACACAATGGTTTCGTCGAATGCTTCGTTGGTCCATGCATCATCCTCTTCCACCCTCTCCTCCCCTTGCTACTCCTTCTCCCCCTCCCCCTCCTCCCCCTTCCTCTGTTCCATCTGTTCGTCCTTCTTCTCCCTCTCCCCCTTTCCCTCCTCCTCCTCCTCCTCCT